AGGGTAATATTGTTTTTTTAAAAAAATAGATGAGGAATAAATATGGCAAAAAGGAAATATAGAAATTGTAAATTTAATTGAAATGACTAAACACTGTTTAAATTTCTGAACCAGCCAAATATTCTGTTCAAAGAAAATACATTGTATGTATGTGTGTTTCTAATTATTGCTATTTATTCATATTTGTTCTCTTTTATTCTTTAAAGTTTAACAATTCATTCTTTATCTTAATATCTTTATATTTGTTTGGGGTTGGCTTTCTTCCCTTTCATCTTTTTTATTGTACAGCAATCTTTCTCCTCAAACCTACCACCTCTCTTTTCTTTCCTTCTTACTTTCTCTTCCCCCCCCCTCTTCTTCTCCTCCCTACTTCCTCTTCCTTTCTCCTTCTCCTCCTCTCTTCCTCCCTCTCTTAACCGTCACTCCTACTCTAATTTCCCTTCCCTTCCTTCATCCCTCTCAATTACTGTATCCTTTTATGCATATGGACTACTCAGAGGGCTGAAAAAGTTATTTTTGACTGGTCTCGCACTTTTGACCAGTCCTCGAACTTACGACTGTCCTCACATTTTACATTTTTGCCCTATCTTGTCATCATGGTGAAGAGAAGCAGTTGTGAAATGAGTGACATGGTTGTTAAGAATGCTGCATGGGCATAAATATGAGGATGGTCATAAGTGTGAGGACCAGTCAAAAATGCGAGGACCTGTCAGAAATGACTTTTTTCAGCCCTCTGGTTAGTCCTTTTGTGCATATGGACTACTCAGAGGGCTGAAAAAGTTATTTTTGACTGGTCCTCGCACTTTTGACCAGTCCTTGAACTTACGACTGTCCTCACATTTTACATTTTTGCCCTATCTTGTCATCATGGTGAAGAGAAGCAGTTGTGAAATGAGTGACATGGTTGTTAAGAATGCTGCATCGGCATAAATATGAGGATGGTCATAAGTGTGAGGACCAGTCAAAAGTGCGAGGACCTGTCAGAAATGACTTTTTTCAGCCCTCTGGTTAGTCCTTTTGTGCATATGGACTACTCAGAGGGCTGAAAAAGTTATTTTTGACTGGTCCTCGCACTTTTGACCAGTCCTCGAACTTACGACTGTCCTCACATTTTACATTTTTGCCCTATCTTGTCATCATGGTGAAAGAGAAGCAGTTGTGAAATGAGTGACATGGTTGTTAAGAATGCTGCACGGGCATAAATGTGAGGATGGTCATAAGTGTGAGGACCAGTCAAAAGTGTGAGGACCTGTCAGAAATGACTTTCCAGCCCTCTGAGTAGTCCCTATACACATAGCCATGGCCACCCGGTCACATGACCAGCTAGCCACGCCCACCCAGTCACATGGCCTCCAAGCCACGCCCACACAATAAGCCACGCCCACAATGGTGTCCCTCTTACCAATGTTAAAATCTGTTCACCTTACCTTATACACATAGCCATGGCCACCCGGTCACATGACCAGCTAGCCACGCCCACCCAGTCACATGACCAGCTAGCCACGCCCACAAAATAAGCCACGCCCACAATGTCCCTCTTTACCAATGTTAAAATCTGGTCACCTTATCCTAGAGAGGTTCTGGAGGCTGGGGACAGCAAAAAATGTCACTTCCTGTCCCACCGGGAGTTGGGAAATGGGCCCTTTCAGCCTCCATAGGGCCTCCAAGGGAGTGGGAAAGGCTGTTTTCACCGTTCCCAGATACACAGAGAGGATCTGGAACCAGGTAAGAAAGAAAAACGGGCCTACCAGGCCATCATGTGCCAGGAGCGGGGGGGGGGGGGGGAGGGGGGAGGGGGTTGCACACACATGCGCATGGGCATGTGCGCACGCGACCCTCCCCCGCCCCGCCCCTCTCCTGGCACGCGATGGCAAAAAGGTTAGCCATCACTGCACTATAGGGTGAGAGCCTTCAAACCAGGAAGCATGGATGATTGGAAGGGTGACAGGAAGATAACATAAGAGCAATGATATGCAAAGGTATATCCACAGCAGTATCCTCTGTCATTCTGTAATAAGGCAGTAAGCTCTCAAACAAAATGGAAGACAAATTTTGGCTTATACCACATCATTAGTTCTGTTTATTTTTTCTGTTTATTTGTATGTATTAGTAGTACAGGTAGGCCACAACTTATGACCACAATTCAGCCCAAAATTTTTGTTGCTAACTGAGGCAGTCATTAAGTGAATTTTGGCCCACTTTATGACCTTTCTTGCCACAGTTGTTAAATAAATTACTGCAGTTGTTAAGTTAGTAACACGGGTGTTAAATGAATCTGGTTTCTCCATTGACTTTGCTCATCAGAAGATCATAAAAAGTGATCACATGACCCCAGGACATTGCAATCGTCATAAGTATGAGTCTGTTGCCAAGCATCTGAATTTTGATCACGTGACCCTGGAGATATTGCAATGGTTATAAGTGTGAAAAACTTTTTTTCAGTATAGTTGTAACTTTGGTCACTAAATGAATTGTTGTAAGTTGAGGACTACAACCTGTATTTACTGTAGCAAAACCACAAAAATATTAATAGGTCTGGCAGCCAAGTTATAACCCTAACTCAACTAAAATACATAGGTATCACTTGAAAAATAAATCACTTACAGGCCCTAGGAAAACAGTACTAATAGAAATAAGAACAGCTTCTTTTTTTTCTCTTTCCTTTTTTTCCCTGCATGAAAGGGTTCCACAGATCATAGAACTTTATGATTGGGTGGTTAATGGACTATGATAAGACCCCATCTCCTTCTCCCCGCCCCCCCACCCCGACCTGTGTTCATCTTGGTCCTTTCCTACCATTTTTGTCAATGTTAAGTTAATCTAATGATACTAGGTATTGCTGTGAGGTTTTAATTTTTTATCAGATTTTTAATGATGGTAAGCCACAAAGAGTCACCTCCAGGTGGGATGGGATAGATTGGATGGAGGGAGGGAGGGAGGAGGGGGGGAGGGAGGGAGGGAAAAAGAGAGAGAGATGGATGATGGATGGATGGATGGATGGATGGATGGATAGATAGATAGATAGATAGATAGATAGATAGATAGATAGATAGATAGATAGATAGATAGATAGATGATAGACAGACAGATAGACAGACACAGACAGATAGACAGACAGACAGACAGATATGGATGGATGGATGGATGGATGGATGGATGGATGGATGGATGGACGGACAGACAGACAGATAGATAGATAAATAGATACTGTAGATAGATAGATACTGTAGATAGATAGATAGATAGATAGATAGATAGATAGATAGATAGATAGTAGATAGATAGATAGATCAAAAAGTATCTTCTCCTTTCTTTTCCTCTCTTCTCAAAATTCAGTAAATGTTTCAGGACCTTTGACAGACAGACAGACAGACAGACAGACAGACAGACAGACAGACAGACAGACAGACAGATAGATAGATGATAGATCAAAAAGTATCTTCTCCTTTCCTTTTCCTCTCTTCTCAAAATTCAGTAAATGTTTCAGGACCTTTGACCTTGACCGATGTATTTCCCTTGCAGATTCTTAGGTCATCACTAAAAGAACAGCTTGATTTTTGCTATTCTGATATTTCTAACCAATCACCCAAAATCTGCTTCGGCCCGTTTGACAAATAGATTTCCAAGCCAGTGTTCTTCCTATTTACATAATGGGATGGCAAACAGTGAGTTTTCACAATGCCCATTTGGCCTTAAGCTACTGCTGGAGTCACCAAGATCATATTGCAAATAACCTCTCCAAAAAGAGCAAGCTTCATTAAAGGCTTTTCATTTGGGAGAGGCCATAGTTGGATGCAGACAAATGATTATCTGCTTTTGCTTTTAACAAAAGAATGGTTGCTCTTTTAAACAGCCAGATTTTTTGCCAAGTTGAGGAATAACACATTCCTCTCTGCCCTAGCATAAAGACTGAACTTGCAGTCAAAGGACAATAGCTTAAATTTACTTTATAAATTGATATATGATAAACACGGAGATGTTGCTTTTCTCAACACACTGCAACTAAAAATTCATTAAAACTCTCAGTATCCTCATACAGTATTTGAATAATATCAAATATTTCACCCTAAATTATTCACCCTGAACTGGGTGAATAATATTACCCAGTTCAGGCCCCAAGAACCAAGAAAAAGAAATTTCTGAGCAGTTTCCTTTATTGCTTCTGACCTACAGATAGAAATCTTGCCAAAGTAAAGAACTATTTGCATCACTATATAGACATGCTGTAGATATTGCTAGGGAGGAACCTTCTTAACTCTCTTTCTCCCTACTAAATGCTCCATACTTCATTGTCTCTTTGCCCTCTGGAATGCAGCCCCTCCCTCCTGGGAATCCAGACTGCACTCCACCACAACAGGATCCAAATGGTGGTTCATTGTCTTCCTTGATCCAATCCTGTCATCAAAAGTTGAGTGAAGGAATGCCCTATCTTGACTGCTTCACAGGATTTGGAACCTTCCAGGAGCCACAAATAATTCCTTTTTTAAAGTAAATGAAAAATGTTTTCTCTCAACTAATGGGGAATTCTCCTCCAATTCAGCCCCTGTTGGTGAATGGTTAATCCCACACAGCTATTTGCCTCGGTTTCCACATAAAACAGCATAATTTGTTTAGTTTGTAAGAAATAAGACATAAGTAAGAAGGGACTTACAAAGGACGCGGTGGCTCAGTGGCTAAGACGCTGAGCTTGTCGATCAAAAGGTCGGCAGTTCAGCGGTTCGAATCCCTAGTGTCGCATAACGGGGTGAGCTCCCGTTACTTCCCCAGCTTCTGCCAACCTAGCAGTTTAAAAGCATGTAAAAAATGCAAGTAGAAAAAATAGGGACCACCTTTGGTGAGAAGGTAACAGCGTTCTGTGCACTTTTGGCATTTAGTCATGCTGGCCACATGATCATGGAGACGTCTTCGGACAGAGCTGGCTCTTCGGCTTTGAAACGGATATGAGCACCTCCCCCTAGAGTCGGGAACGACTAGCACATATGTGCGAGGGGAACCTTTACCTTTACTGAGTAAGAAGCACATCTCCACTGTGGATTGTCTTGGGTGGGGTTCTTATTGCTACTCTCAGTTCCCGAGTGTCACAGCAGTCCTTGACGATTAGGAATATTCACTACCTAAGTTTGCAGGAGATAAGAAGAGAGTTTGGATGCATAAATGACCACTTGTAGGATATCAATTACAAATAAATAACCTCCTTATCTTTCTTTATTATCATTGTGCATCACATTCATGAATGATTAATGAGCTCACTAGTAAGTGATGGGCTTAATTCTTAATAGTCTTAAGAATTAAACATTCATTTTAAAAAAAAGCTGTCTTAACCACCTTGCTAAACATTATAAGGGGAGGTATTGCACAAATCTATGGAAATAGGCTATTCCAGAGAGAGGGAGGGAGGGAGGGAGACATGATTAAAAAATAAATAGCAACCAGAAGTAAGACATTTCCAATTGTTCAAATAATTTGGTCAGCAGTGAGGTAAGGATTAACAAAACTGACAACAAAAAACAAGTTCAAAAAGAAGAAAGAAGAAAGTCCAAAAAACTTTGAGGAAATGTTTCATTGTTGGATGATAAAAAAAAAAAAAGATGAAAAGCATCTACAGGCAAGTGAAGGGTAGAAATAGTGTTGTATAACAACTAAGCTTTAAAACTATAATGACATAAGAAAGAAGACAGCTTGCAACAAAATTGACCTTGCATTCAATTGATTGGATTCTGCAAATGTCAAATAACAAGTTTTTACTGCCTTGCATAAAACTGACTTGTGGAAGCTTTTCTTGCTACTGTAAAATTTATATTTCCATGTTTGAGCAGAATTTATGCGAATCCTCCATATCACTAGGTGACAATATTAGAATCGTGATGAAGTACTTGTTCATTTGGCATGTACAGAAGATCAAGACAGTAAAATAGGGGCTGATGAGGCGCCTGGGAAATTTGAGGCCGTGAACAAAAATATGCTAGTTGTGACTGCTATAAGATCTAGTAAGTGCTGGATGTTATAAGCAAAAACCCAAAAGCAGGAAAAGTTCTTGAACTGTGAGTAACAGCTGAGTGGCTTGAATCTAAGGGGGAAATGCAAAACCCATCACCAAGTACTGAGAATAACACCAATACATGTGGACAAACCAACAATTTTTACTAAAGCCCTAAGTTAGAGTCAGCCTGGCCTAAGGCTGCCTGGTTTGGAAATAATTTCTTGACAAAGCTACCACTAGTGGTGGTCCTCAAAGATACATGTGTATTTGATTCTCAACAAAGGTGCAGGTGGGCTAGTGCAGCTGATACACACTTGGTGAAGACTCAAGGAATAGTGATAAGCCCAGTGGGAAGTCCCCAAAATAGATAACTGTGTATGCCTACTGTAACTCTTAAATAATGGCAGTGTTGAGGTCTGATAGCTAATGAAAACATTTGTCCTTTAAGGTTATCATCAAAAACAGTTTCTTTTTACAACCATAGCAACAAATCATGAAGGGAGTTCATGGTTGTTGTTTTTTTACCTAGGTAAACTCATTACAGATCTAGGATGGAATCTTTATTCAGAGCTATTAAGTCCTTTGAATAGGAGGCGTTTCCCCCCTAAACTCATCCTCCTTGGCAAGCACATTAGTGACCTTAGTCTGTAACACTATCATAAAACAACACTGGTTGTAAACTTTGAGACATGCTTTTGAGTGGCATTTTAAAGTGTACCTGAACTTGATGGTGATGGGTTCCCATGACTCAATAATGATCTCACCCCATATTCAGCAAGCCTGATTACAAAGTGGGATAGACAGCAACTGGGGTCAACAAATATCCATGCTGGGTTTCACTGAATCTGCTGTACAAAGCAGGTTTTCTCGCATGAAATAGAACTGAAATGTCAAGGTCAAAGTGATGAAAGTTGCCTCTTTGGCATTCTTTGCAAAGGACAAAGATAGCCCAGTTTACAAGACCATGGTCAATATTAAAATAAGACATGGAAAGGACAATATTCATTCACATTTGTGGATTCTGGACCCAGTAACATTAACCAAATGTCTTGTTAAGAGGATGTTCCTCAGAGGAATCAGATATTTAACAACAATCCTGGAAGCCTACAGCCTGAGACCAACCAATTCAGATAGTGTTGCAGCATTGCAGTCCACTACAATGTTTAATAATCTCAATCTCCACTTAACATCATTGTGGGCTTCAGGGAAGACATTAGTTATGTTGTAGCGCGGGAATAACGAGAGGCACAAGCAAGCTAGTGACAACAGCTCTTTAATTCAGGGTGAGACTTCAGCAAAGAAACACAGGCAACAGCCCTCTTTATATACTTTTCAGAGGCAACCATGAACCAATCAGAATTCACTGAACATTTGAATTTCCCGCACAAAATAGATACATACATAACAAGTTACATCTCTGTTTTCATCTAGTAAGTATTTGAATAAAGTATATGCCCTGTTCCTAATAATTTGTTAGTAACATCCCCACATACCTGTAGTAGGATATACTGTACAGTCTTACAGAGCTGCTTTAAAATATGAATGATGTCCCACTGAGTCTCTACCAACCAGACCCAAATATTGACAACTTGGGACCAGTGCTGGAGTTTTTCAAGAATGAAATAAATTGAGGATGCAAGATAGAAATTGTATTTGTATACCATACAGTGCCCCTCTGTGGTGGAGATAGGTGGTTTCTAAATTAGATAGATAATAGATAGATAGATAGATAGATAGATAGATAGATAGATAGATAGATAGATAGATAGATAGATAGATAGATAGATAGGGATGTCTGTTTGTTTGTTTGTTTGTTTGTTTGTTTGTTTGTTTGTTTGTTTGTCTTGAAATGTGTTTCCTTCTTCCTGGGAAACTGTTGCTACCTCATAGTCCATCATACTACCTCCCCCTCATAGGTACCAGCTAGTGGTGAGTTGCCCCTGGTTCAGACCGGTTCGCTTGCTTCGCTCACGCGCGCGATCCCATTACAAACCAGTAGTAAAGGTAAGTAGAACCCACCCCTGGTACCAGCCCTCATATTTCTAGATGCTTGGACATTGGAGGAACAGTTCCTGGCTTCTGTCACTCTTTAATGGGCAACAGGAGAATAGCAACTGGGCGCTAAAGCATTTGCATGAAATAATTCACATAAGGACTGTCTATTACAAAAGATATTTCAACATCTTTAAAGATAAAAGAAATGTGATACAAAATAACTTCCACTATATATGGACCTGGGGTCAAATTCCACCAAATTTTAACTCTAGTCAGGTGACCTCTCTTTCACCTTGCCGTCTTCTAGGCCTCTGTTGTCAAGGGCTACAAAAATATACTATATGCTTCTTAATGGAAGTGTTGTTGGTCCCTTAAATTAAAGAATGGCTAACCAAGCTGTGAGAATATGCTTTATGTCTAGAAAGAGAGAACAATCAGGACCTGCAAACCCAAAAAGAGTTGAAGTGTGCTTCCTTCTCTTGTAAAAAAAATAGCAATGTCCCCTGAGGATAGGAATGCAGTTTGTTCTTACAAGAACTGTTTGTCCTCAGCATACGAACTGTAATGGTTCTGTGCTGAAAAGTTCTTAGTTCTGTATAGTTCTTAGATGTCATTTATAAGAAGCAGTGACTTCCCAAATATGAATGTTTTGCTCTAAATATTTTATTCATCATCTTGAAAGAAAATTTACATAAAGTGTTTTTTAAAAAATTCCCCAGTACTTTGAGAAAAATGAAAAAAGTGCTCAGCAACCCTAAAGAATTGCAAGGTTTTATTCTAAAGATTTCTGGATTATTATTATTATTATTGTTTTGAATCTGCACATTTCTATCATCCCTGAAATCGCCTGCCTGCCTGCCTGCCTGCCAGTTTTTGCCTCTTCTCTGAAAGACAAAACAAAGATGCTTTACTCAGCAAGATCAAAGTCATCAAATGTTTCTAAAAGGAGTTGCCGCTTGGAAATCAAGCTAGGACTATCAGTTGTAGACTGTAAAAATGACAACTCCTAAAGTGCCGTTTCTCACCTTTAGCAACGGTAAAGATGTTGTGAGCTTAACCTCCCAGAACTCCCCAGCCAATTGCCTTTTAGAGTCTGCCATCTATTGGTCATCTGGAGGATTGCAGCCCACATTTGCTTATCTTCTCTCTTACTGCTCTTTGCTCTAAGGGGGTGGGGGGAATGATCTCTGAGCAGGAAATTAGAGACTTGCATTTTTAATGTCTCTTTTCCATTGTATGCCTCCAAAGGTGTGAAGCTACAGATAATCACACTGTTCATTTTATTATCAGTGTTTCTTTGCTGAGGTGAAGAACTCCATGAATTGGACAGCCAAAAAGATAGAGGAAAAGATCTGATGGAGTGCTAATTTAAGCTGGCAGGGCTCTAAGTGGTAAAATTGCATGTGACTTTCCCAACATCTCTTATTTTTCCCACACTTGCAATATTATCCTTTGGTGTAGTCATGTGGTAATCACTGCAATTAGTGCACTCTTTTCCTTGTCATCTGATTAGCATTTGGAAAAATGATGCCTTGCCTATTTTTTTTTTAAAAAGTCCCCTTTGAGTTCCTTTTTCACTTGTTCTTTTTTCTGGCTCTCTGCATTTATTTTTGTCTCTCTTTCTCCTGCGCACATTCCTGCATATCTTCATCACCCTCCTCTTCCTCTTCCACAATATTGATTTTCCTTTATGGAAAAAAAAAACTGACACAGAAAGCATCTAAGAGAGCAACACTCAAGAGCTCGTAAGGTCCATGTGAGTCCCCATTTCCAGAGCTTCAGCTTGCTTGATCAAAAACATATTGAGAAGCTGCCAAGAACTTCCATAGTTGCTGTCTAGAACAAGGAACCTGCCGACATGGGGAAACAACTCAATGTCTTTGCTATCCTACTATAGCTATAGTTTTTGTAGATTTTTCTAAAGGTACTTTATGGTGTCCAGGTTGTGTTTCAATCTCATTGTCAGTCTTAGACAGCTGTACTAATTCATGTCTGGTTCAGCTGCAGCATAGAAGGAATTTGACTGTTCTGTAGAGTAATGAATTATTGGGGTAAGAAGTTCTTGGGGGGGGTGTTGTTGTTGTTTTTTGTTTGTTTGTTTGTTTGTTTGTTTTTTATTTGATTTATATGTCGCCCTGC